GCGTTTCGGGTCCGGTTCAAAGTATATTTTAAATTATTTATTAATTGAGGTTTATTAACATTTCTCCATTAACTAAATAAAAATAAAAACATAGTTAGTAATTGAATAAGTTGATTTTTAGGAATAATTTATATATATATATAATACCATAAATAGATTAATTGCTGGACTTTCAATTTTTAGTTCTTCAAATTTAGACTGTTCTCGATTTCAAAATTTTCCGAAATTATACAATTTGGCTTGGGCCAAATTTGCAAACTTGAACGTCAAATTAAGCATTGTTCACTATTTAACGGCCCCATTTTAATTACCGTCGTCACTATTTACGGCCCATACCGTCGAAAATTCAAATTTTGATTTAATAAAAATTCAAATGTTTCGAAAATAAAAATTCAGGGTGTTTCGCTATCATTTGAAGGGATAAAGTGTGTGCATTTTTTGATACAAATCATACAATGTATGACATTTGTTATAGCATCGAAAGGCTTCGGAGGATACTGTATTTATATAATCTATATGATATATAAAACTAGAGCAGACAACCAAGTATAAGTCTCTCAATTTGTCAAGTGTAAGGAGAACAGTTATTTAGTACAATTGTAAAGAGATCAGTTGTTTTATAATTTAAAATAATACTTTTATCAAAATAATATCTGTTAGTTATATCCCATCGTGATAATGCCATTAAATGAAATTAAAATTAAATTAAAATATTATATAAAAATATACTTTTTTTTTCTTTTTTATCTCTCTTCTAAATTTTTCTATTTTTATCATCTCTTCTAAAATAAACATAGGTTTTTAAATTATAATAAAAATAAATTCAAACATTTTAAAAATAAAATTTACAATATTTAAAATAAAATATAAAATTTGCAAATGTGATTACTTATCAACATATATACGTTATAAATAAAATTTAAAAGGATAAAACTTAAAATTTTATGAAATACTCTAATTATCTATATATTTATTTTAAAAAATACTTAATTATCTATATATTTATTTAAAAAATAATCTTAATAAATTATATCCAATCAACTAATAAAATATAATTTTCTAATTGGTCATCAATAAAATTATTTTAAGATATTCAAATTTCATTAATTGTGCTGTTGAAAATCTTATTACTCTCTTACATTTTCACAGTTATATATAATATAGATATAAAAAGTGTTAGTCAGAGTAAAGTAAATTTTAAAGATGCTATAAAATTAAAGTAAAAATTGGTATGAGTTTAAGAGTGGCTTATGTAGTTTAAAGAACAGACCTATTTAAAGCTGTAAATGAACTAAACTGTTCTAGGCTTAGTTGGAATTCGTTTTTAAATGAACCAAACTTGAATAAAATATTAGACTCATTTAAATATACGAACCAAGTTTAAGCGAACCAAGTTTAAGCATGATGTAATTCGACTCGGTAAGCTCGCAAACTATATCATTTGTGAGGCTTGCGAACAAACTTGTGAATTGGCTTGCTGAACAAACTCCCAAAAAAGCTCATTTAATAGGCTCGTGAGCAAGCTCGTGAATCTGGTCGTCTAATAAGCTTGTAAACGGGCTAATTTATAAAGTTATAATTATATAATATATCATTATCACGTTCACATGCAATTAATTTTATTTATTTATTTTTAATCATGCTTATTTATATTTTAACTAATTTAATAAAATTATTATTATTATAATTATTAATTGCAATAATATTTATTATTATTATTATTATAATTATTAATTGCAATAATATTTATTATTATTATTATTATTATCATCATCATTAGTAGATAGTACTGTATTATTAAACATAAATAATCATAATACCACTTTACAGCTTTCTTTTATATTAATATAATGGTACCTGTTATTATTAATTATACTAATATTTTAATAGATAATATATATAATATCATTAAGTATGGCTTGTAACAATTATAATATGTATAACATTTTTTTGTTATCTAACTATAACTAGTATTATAATTTAATTAATTAGTAATAGTTTTATAATTATTATTATCATTTTAATATTATTATAATTATATGTTTGTTTATTTCTAGTACTATGATAATAATAATTATTTTTAATTATAAATATGATTTTAATAAATAAATAATTATCATTTTTCTAGTTATAATTATATCTAGTATTATAATTAGTGTATACCAAAAGTAATACTATAATTATATCTAATAGTAATATTATAATAGATAGAAAGACTACCAATAAATTTATTTCTAATATTTAATATTATAAATAAATTATGATACATATTTTATTATGGTGTTTTACTATTTTTAATTATTATTAAAGTTAAAATTAGCTCAACCTACATCAAAACCGCGTGGTTTTGAAACAAAATTTATGAGGTAATTAATAGTTGAGTCGTTGAATAAACAAAAACAATCGCATTGTTTGGACTGTCGGCTACCGCTCTCTGTTCTTTCTTCTTCCTTCCAGTTCCATAATCCGTTCCTTTGTCTGAATCGACGGACTAAAAGACCGGCCAGCTTGTCAATGACCGAACATCTAAAGAGCTTGAATCAGGTCAGTATAATTATCTTTACTTTTATCTCTAAATTTTATCTCTGTTTGGACATTGGATGATTTCAGAAAAGCTCTTACTTTGCAATTAGTTATACCTGCTGAGCTATGGAAACTGATTTCCTAATCCGTTCCTTTGTCTGAATCGACGGACTAAAAGACCGGCCAGCTTGTCAATGACCGAACATCTAAAGAGCTTGAATCAGGTCAGTATAATTATCTTTACTTTTATCTCTAAATTTTATCTCTGTTTGGACATTGGATGATTTCAGAAAAGCTCTTACTTTGCAATTAGTTATACCTGCTGAGCTATGGAAACTGATTTCCTAAAGTAATTTTTATTTGTAATTGTTGTCTATATGTATTATTTTAAAAAAATTGAAAAGAATGGGGAAACTTTTTGCTTGGTTCATATCAAAGTGAAAGAAAGTTTTACTCATATTGAAAATGAAGGTTATACCCCTACTATTACTGTAATTGAAGTATATATATACTTCATCCGTCCCATTTTGTTTGCTTGTTATTTTCTTTCTGGATGTCCAAACTGTTTGCAAAGTTTATAAATTTATGCATTTAAACAATTATTTTTTCCCTAATAACCTTTCTAGTTGTTCATTAAATGAAAGACTTTTATTAATATTTAAAGGTTAAAAAAGGGATAAAATGGTTTTTGTTGACTAAATTCTTGATATGTATGTTTTGTCAAACTATATAAACAAAATAAGAAGGAAATAATATATATATAAAAGAAAGACCCAAATCTACATCTTACTTTTCCTTCCATTTTCATTCTTTTACTCCTGTGAATGCGAGGATGCATTGAATTAAGATATACTCGTCTCAAAATATAAGTCGTTTTTGAGTAATTATTTTGTCCCAAAATATAACGTTTTGAGTATTCTAAGGGCTAATAAATGATGTTTTTCCGATATTACCCTTGTTTAGATTAGTTATAGTAAATACTTTTACAAATAACTATTGATTTTGAGATAAAAGATAATCTGATCAAATTACCTTGAATTTTTTATAATCTAGGAGAATTAATAGACTTCTTAATCCTTGTGCAACAACCTTGTCATTGCTTTGAGAGTTTTAAGAGTTCAAATGAAGAATATTTTAAACGGAAGCTTCTTTTTTTTTTCTTGCTCTCGTTTTTTGTTTCATGAGTGTGATATGTTACAGCTTCTGTGTCTTATGATAAAAAAGCTATTACAATCAATGGACAGAGAAAGATTCTTATGAGAGTTTAGCTTGTTCTTTATATGAGAAAATTAAGCTAATCATGCAAATTCATCTCTAGCTATTTATTGAGTCCAAATTTTATATATTCTTTAATTTGCAAGTTAAATTAATATTTACTATGATTAGAAGTCAATAAATTAATTGATTGCTTTCTCTAATTATATGTTGATTTGCTCTTATTTTATTTTTGTAGATGAGAAAGTGTGGCCATGTTCTCGGCTTTTTTTTATGGAAGGGAAGCATAGATTTGATGGTTTCAGTGTCTAATTAGCATTTTTTAAGATTATTTAAAAATTAGAACTATTTAATCTTATTTGATATGTATTATTGTAATGTGTTATTTGGCTTAGATTTATATTTTATTAAGTTTATGAATACTTATGTTTTATGTTGAAAATTGTTGTATTGTCGAGCATTTGAAAATAGGGACTGAAGTTATTTATTACTACCATTATTCTATCATACTTGTTACATTTGAAATTTCATATTATCTAAATTATAATAAATTATTATATAAATTGATTATATTATACTTAATTTAATATTAATTCTTTAAGAAAATCATTAAATTGAAATAATAATTATTGGTCATATATAAAGGATAAACATGTAAAAAAAATATTTATTACTCTTTGAAATTACAAATATAATAAGTATTTTGAAATAAATTATTTTTTTAAATGTGACAAATATTATGAAACAGAAATAGAAGTTTTTACCATGCCTGAATTCGAACTCTAAAATTAATTGGCCTCTCAAAACCCTCTCGGTCTTTCCCCGCCCACAAAGCAATTATGTTGCGACAAACTTTGAATTTTTTTTTTTTTCAATTGAAAGAGACCCAAAAGCAATTCCGATAGCAAACTTCCATTACATACGTATACGGTAAGCAATAGTATCTTAAGATAAGTGATAGAAGTAAACTAATAAATGTTCAAGAAATATATATATTACTATATGTCCTTTTTATGTTCTCGTACAGTTATTTATTTATTTATAGTACGATTTAGATTATGACCGTGCAAAAATCTTAATAATTTAATAACTCTTTTTAATTACTCTACTGATTAAGCATTATACTTATTCAAATGAGTTTATTAATTACTTGCTCAGCTTCGTGTTTTGCTGGGTTATTTGGTTTAGTGGTACAGATTAATAATTAATAATCTATTCCTATGAATGAGCAATAATTTTGGAAATTTCAAATGGCCATTCACTTTGAAAACGTAAATAATGGGACCACCCTATCAGCATACTGGCCAAATTTATTCCATAGGGTTAGACTTTTTTATTTCTTTCTCACGCAATACAGATACATATAGAAAAGTACAACAGTACCCACCCTAACTCGGCCGATTCAGTTAACTCTTCTAAATGCGACTCGCTATTGAAGGACCCATTGCTTTAGCAATTTCTCTGAGCTCAAATTTCTTGATTTTCCCAGTCGAAGTCTTAGGCAATTCTTTCTTAAACACCACCGTTTTGGGCACCATATAACGAGGCAAATTTTCCCTGCAAAATCCAATAATATCACCCTCGCTAGGTTTCTGAGTCAACCCGTCTTTTAAACTCACAAAGGCACACGGTGTCTCTCCCCAATATTCATCCGGCCGAGCCACCACAGCCGCTTCATTCACCGCAGGGTTAGTATATAACACCGACTCAACCTCCACGCTACTTATATTCTCTCCACCGCTAATAATCACATCTTTAGATCTATCTTTGATTTCTAAGTATCCATCTTTATGCATAACTCCAACATCTCCTGTGTAAAACCAATCATCTTTCAAACACTTGGATGTTCCAATTGGATCTTTTAAATACCCCAGCATAACACAACCGCCTCTTAATACAACTTCGCCGATGGATAATCCATCTCGCTTCACACTCGCTCCCGTCGAATCTACAACGTCTATTTCTGTAAATCCAGCAATCTTTACTCCTTGTCTTGCTTTCAATCTCGCTCTCTCGCTCGCCTGAAATTTGTTCCATTCCGGTTTCCACGCGCACGATACTACAAGGCCTGCTGTTTCGGTTAAACCGTATCCATGACTCACCACGAAACCTAGTGACTCGGTTCGGTTCAGCACTGCCGCTGGTGGTGGAGCACCGGCTGTTAAGATATGGACTGGATTTTTTAACGGTTGGTTAGAAGGAGAGTTTGTTAGCATGTTTAGCACTACTGGTGCACCGCACATGTGAGTGACACCGTGTCTGCTGATCAAGCCGTAGATTATTGACGCATCGAATCTACGGAGACAAATGTTGGTCCCACCAACGGCTGCCATACCCCAAGGGTAGCTCCATCCGTTAGCGTGGAATATCGGTAAGGTCCATAAATAAATTGGCTGTTTTGGAACGGACCAATCAATTAAGGATTCAACGGTTACGACGAACAATCCTCTGTGGCAGTGTACTACACCTTTAGGAGATGAGGTTGTACCTGATGTGTAGTTTAATATCATCGGATCCCACTCGCTCTTCGGTTGGACCCACTTGAACTCCGGATCACCCTTTTCCACCATGTTCTCGTAAGTACAGTAAAAGTCAGCGGTTAACGATGACGATGATGCTGCCTCATCATCATCTGTGATGAGGACGAGTTTAGGACGATTAGTTTTTGCCGGGAACAAAGACATGGCCTCGAGGATAAGATCACGCGATTGAAAATCAACGAAGACGAGCTTTGATTCGCTGTGACGCAGGAGAGCTGATACAGTACGCGCGTCTAGACGAGAATTGATGTTGTTTAGGACGGCGCCGGACATCGGCACGGCGAACTGAAGCTCGTACATGGCTGGGGTGTTGGGAGCGAGAACGGAAACGACGTGGCCTCTTGTGAAGCCATCGGATGAAAGAGCGGCTGCGACTTGGAGACATCGACGGTAGGTCTGAGACCACGTGTAAGAGGTGTTGTTGTAGATGATGGATGCACAATCACCGTAGACAATTGCAGCTCTTTCTAAGAAGGATAACGGTGTTAGAGGAGATGAATTTGCTGGGTTTGGTTTCAGCTCTTCCATCTGGCTTTATGAGTATCCAGTGTTATTGGTGATGGGGAAATATATAACGTGGGGTTTTTGTAGATAAGTCACGAGAGTGACTCCTGACTAAAATAATTGCACAGATAATTTTTTAGTCACTGCATTTTTTTTAAAGATAATTGAAGAAATCACTAAAATAATTGACTAAAATAAAGTAGGGTTTTTATAGAAAAGTCTCCTGACTAAAATAATTTTTAATTTAATTTCAATATTATCTCTCTCATTACATTTTTTTTAAAGATAATTGCACAGATAATTGAAGAAATCACTAAAGTAATTGACTAATTAGTATGTATCAATCATGAAAATAATTAGTAGTTATCATATCAATCACTAACTAGTTTTGTGGATTTCGTTTTTGATCCGTCCAGTTTTAACCTTTCTGAAATCACATCCGTAATAAGTGAATATTCTTTTTTTTTGTTTGTTTTTTGTTTGTTTTTTTTTTTTTTAAGGGAAAGTTAATCAATTAATGAAATGTAGCTACTGGCTTTGAGGAGAAAAAGATTCCAACAAAAAAAAAAAAAAAAACTTGTTTGGGTTTTTTTTTTTTTAAGAGGGAGAAGTGTAAATCAAGCTGTAATCGAAATGTAGACTACGTGCTTTGAGGAGAAAAAGGATATTCCAAACAAAAAAAAAAAAAAAAAAAACGTGTTATTTCAAATGGAAATTTATATATCTAAAGTTGAATGAAAATAAATGGAAAAAGTTAGGTAATATTAAACACATTTACGAAAATATTAATGAAAAAATAGGTAAAAAGATAGATGTTGGGCCATCTCATGCCTAATTATTGATTTGATTTAAATTGAAATTAGACTGGAATAGAATTGAAAAAATTTAGATCAAAATTAATTGGAGAATTTTGATTGTTAAGTAAATTGAAATCATAAAAAAAATAATTCTAATTTTAATCCAATCTAAAAGGACAGGAGAGTGTATAAATATATGAAAACACGATTGAATCGAGATCGAAATTTATATCTTATAACCAATTTTAGTCTTTTTTTTTTTTTTTTTTTTTTTTTTTTTTTTTTTTTTTTTGAGAAATAACATGAGTTTAGTCTTGATTCAATGTTTTAAAGGTTTTAAATCGTTAATTCAATGAAGTGCGTTTGGTTGAATATCCAAATGCTATACATGGGTTGCTTTCCTAAATATCCATCTTTCTTTAGAGAGGTGAAGGATTTCATTAATAAAAAATAATATAAATATCATGTCTTTAATTAATATGTGATTTTTTTGACCGAATTGAGTAGTTCAGTAGCAAAGAGCACTTGCTGGGTTGATCAGAATGACTTTATTAATGAATTCGATCACATGCAATGCAAATTCCTCTGGATCAATCTCTTTGCCTTCAAAGATGATTTTTTTCTTCATGGGTTAATCTCATTTCATGAGATTGTCTCCTCAATACATTGATTAAACCCCTAATCTTATAAAAATTGTCCGACTAATAAATAAATTTGATAATATAAATTCTGCTTTTTGGGCATTAGAAGAGGAGAATCAAACTTAAAATAACCATATTAAGTTTTTATGAGTAGTTCTTTTGATAATTCTTAAACCAACAATATTATGAAAATCTAAATTTCTTATTTTTCATATTATAAGATATGACTTTTAAGTCTCTAATGAGACTATAATAAATTGTTATAAAATCTCTATGATTTATCAAAATTTTCATTTTATTTAAAATTAATACAACAAAAAACATATTGATTAGGGATTGAATCTTGGTTTCGCTAATCAAAGAAAATCCGTCATTAAAATGGTTTAAGTGACAGATTAGCAAACTTCAGAAATCGGCTGCTAAATTATTTGCCAACACACAATAGAGAAGTTGCTAAATTAGCAACGAAAAATCGATTGCGATTTATGCTTTCAACCAATTGCCTTTGGGTCGTTGGGAATCAAGCTAAAACTATAATTCTTTTAGTATTTTATCCATCTGTAAATGGATACAAATTGGTCAATAAATTTTTTGATTTATTGAAATGTACTTGATGGGAGTGAACTGAGAAAATGCTCAAGAGATGTATTTGTTATTATCAATTTGGAAATCAGATGGATCTTTTCATATTCTTATGCACTTATTTATAGTACAATTCAAACTATAACTGATCACTTAATTTTTATAGTAAGAATTTTAGTCATGAATGTCGAATAAAAATCTCGGTCATTTAATGACTTTTAATGACTCTATTGACTGAAAGTTACATTGAACATTAAACTTGTTTAAATGAGATTTAGATACTATTTGGGCTTGAGTAGCTACTCGGTCTTTTGCTCTGTTCGAATTTTAGCTTTTGTTTGACTCAAATCCTTTTCCTATCAGTACTTATTTACTATCACTAATTAGTTACTAATACATCCGGAAATTTTAAATTATTTTCAATCAAAAATGGACTTTTGCAAATTCGTTGCAAATTTTTAGCTATTTTTATGGTAGAACTAAACAAATAATTTATTTATAAAAGTATTCCATATTAATCTAACTTGTTTTTTTTTGGAAGGAAAATATGCAATTTAATCAAACTTGTTAAGACAACTTTCATACTAATATTCATAAGACGAATTATTAGAAAAAGTATATGTACTTTGTCAGCTGATAATTAACTTTTTACAAAGCACAAGATTTTGAGTGATTTAGGCGTTGTTCGGCATTTGAAATATTGTTTAGTGTTTTGATTAGGTCAAAGCACTATCTTAATTAATTATAGCGTTCGGTGTAATAAAATATCTATCATAGAGTTTAGAGTTTGAGACCTTATTTTATGAAACGTTATCTTCATTAACATTTAGTGTTTTGTAATTTTTCTTATGCCACTTATACCCAACGTTTGTATTTACCTTGTTCCTAATTTCATACTCTTGTTTGTCGTTTTATATTAACAATTAATCGAATAGTTAATTGTACCGAATATTTTTATACTAAATCACTATATACACAGCTAACCACTAACAATAATATCAACAGCTAACCATTAGTATAACAACTGACAGCTACTAGAACAGCTAAAATTGTTGAATAGACTCTTAAGTGTTTCACGATATAATAATAAGGAATATAAACCTTCTTTTTTTTTTTTAAGATTCAGAGATTATAGAAATATTTCTTGAGGAATAGAATAAACAATGACGATCAATGTGTCAATTATAATAAATTTGGAGGGTCTTTTAGTAATTTAATAAAGAAAATAATAATTAGTGTTATAATTTTGAATTAATAGGAAAGAGAGATACCACAAGAAAATGAGACTTTTAAGTTTGTAAATTAAGCTTGGACTTGCAACCGTTATCAAAATGACTAGCCATTAGTCAATTAGATAATTGGCCTCTATCACTTATTTTGCATACCCCATCAATATGGATAATATGTTTAATGATTAATTTCGAGACTTAGAATTTCCATTTCCTCTCTCTATTTTCTCTCTAGCGTTTTATGTAGCATCCCTTCCCGGTCCACCCGTAAACCCGAATGAACCGAACCGAGACGCTACAAACTGGTTGACTGTATGGCCTGACATGATGACATCATAATGTATATTGAATATAAGATCATGACATGATGACATCATAAATGTAGTATTGAATATAAGATCATCCTGTAAGTGTTACCATGGTCATTTATTAATCTTTCAACGAACATGATAAGTCAAAAATGAAAATGGGCCCAACTGTGTGCCTGTACATGCCATGAAAACGGATAAACAAAAATACCATTCCGTAGAAGAGCTACCCTGAGACTGAGTCTTCTACAAGATGACTGCAGCAAGTTGTAAGCTAGCTCTCACCGGTCCAATACTCAAAAATAACCGCGAGTTCAACGGGTGAGAGCTCGCTGAGCGAAATAAAGCTCAGTGGATATCGTCAACAATATAAAGAAACAAATAACACATAATGATATAGAAAGAAACCAATGTAAACACATATGGCACATATAAGCACACCATATAGATATCTTTCATGATACCTATGATTTATCTTTGTACCTGTTTTATAATACCTGTAATAATTCATGAAATGTTAGTCAGATATCTGTATGGCTCCATAAGTATAGCTGAAACCGAGTGATAAGAAAAACTGTAATGAATAGAATGAATACTGTATGCACAGCTTGCTATGCCTGTACTATAATCATATCCACTCAATCGGATCCACGGAGTATCAAAACAATATGAGGTGCAGATCTAGCTATCGTGCTATGTCGCGAACATAGCCAATATAGGAGAGTTTCTACCTACCTCAAGTGGAGCATAATGTTGTATTGTAAATAATAACACAACATCACTTCTAATGTCTCATAACTCCATAATGTTTCTTTTGATTTCACATCATCATTTGCATGCTTGGCCATGTTGTTTTAATACATGATTAATGTTGCTCATTTTTGTGTTATGATTGGAGGCATTTTGAAGCAAAGGACTCGCTATCGAATGAAGTCAAAAATGCATGAAACACAAGTCGAAAAAGAGCGTATGCACTAGAATGAGAGACAGTGAGTTGAGGTCGGAGCGCATCGGATGTACTTGAAAGTCGCGAGCGAGCGAGAAAGTGCCAATTTGAGAATGAACAGTGAGAAGTACCCAAGGCCGAAATTCGCGAGCGCGCGATGAACAGATAGCGACGACGGACTTACAGCCCAAGGGCCAAGTACGCGAAGCGCTGAGATTGTGCCAAATGAAACGTCAGAGAGTTTGCAGAGAGCACAAAGGGATGGATCAGTCGCGGAGCAGCACTTGAAAGTCGCGAGCGGGCGAGATGTCCAAATAAGAGTCAGAGAGGATTTCAGGTGAAAGTCGGTGAGCGCGTAGTAAATCGCGAGCGCGAGAAGGCAACGCGAACTCGCATGCAATTTCGCGGGCAGCGCTTACGCAGCCTGCACCTGTCCTTGTACTCTTTTGGTCATAATCTTCTCAATATACAACTCTGATTTGGATGATTCAAAAACCCATGTAAACGCTAACACATAAAGGAACAATAACTCTTCTAATGACACTTCCTAATTACATCATTAAATGGGGTCCAAAATCAAGATGAAAGTTACTGTAAAATTTCCAGCAAACATGTTTCAACCATAAACTCTATATTCACTTCAATTATTCCAATAACCTGCGCCCCTGTTTTCTCACCATTACCAGTCCTCCCACTCACATAAAGCAATATGGTCTCATAGCAACACACCACACAAATCTCATACAAAGAAAATGGTAAAGAAAAAGAGATATCAAACCTTTGCTCCAAAAAGCTTGAGCTCTTCTTTAGCTTCTTGTTTCTACACTCTTAGAACTCCCTTCACCTATAAATAAGAATTCTTATGAATTCTAAAACAATAGCACCAAATGTTTCAATTATGAACTTAAGAAGGTTTACTTACTTGGATAGAAGAAAAATTGAAGTTAAGGCTTAACTACCATTAAAATTGAAAGGAAGGTGGAAGAGGAAAGGAAGGAATGAGGCAAAGGAAGAAAATGAAGAAGATGAAGATAAAACATGAAAAATGGGAAAGGTGAATGGGTATACACGGGTAGGCTCTAAAGATCCATTGACTTTGGTGTGTAAAAGTTTCTAAAATGGTACCGTAATTGATAAACAGGCGACCAACTTAATACCCAAGCTCAATCTTTTAATGCAAATCAATCCTCAACCATGTGCCTTTAATCTTTTCTCTCAATCAAGTAACTCCACTTAATAACCTAACCCATTCTACCCCAACCGGGTTTGGTTCAACTCGACTCAACTCGACTACTCAACTCTATGCTAAGACTCGACTCGGTAGGATGTCACATTTTAACCCTAGTTTTGTTTTCAGATTACCGTTATTTGTCAGCGTAGCCCCTACCTTTTACTTTTCTTTTCGCTTCACCTTCTTTTGCTTTTAATCTTTTATTCACTCTAATAAACTCAGATCTAATTTTCCTACAAAAAATATGTCCTTTTTTTGGTTTTATAATTGTTATTTTGTCTCCATATTTGTAGTTTTTTTTCCCTTCTTTGTGAGGGTAATCCCTTCTTTGTGAGGGTTTATTACTAATTAAAATAATATGATATTTGATTTATTTGGTTTGAGACTTTAGATCTTGATTTGCAGGTGCGGATCTTTAATTAATGGAGCCTGGTAGTATGGCATGTTCCTCCATTAATATTATTGACGTAAACTCATCTGTGTTTGTCATATATTGCAAATTCTTAGAAAAACAATTCAGGTATAAAAGATTTAGAAGAGTTGTTATTTTGTCATCCAAATCAATTAACGGACTAGTTGCAGCTTTGAAGATTGATCATATCTTTCGTCAATATCAACTCCATGCGAAAAGATCTAATAATATTATATTTTTTTTTAATTTTAGTTCATTGTTCAAAAGAATATGAATCCTTTTGATTTGTGAAAAGATCAGCGAACTCTATTAGCTACTAAACAACTATTAATCGTAGTAAAATTCTTTTGTCAATATCAACTCCAAGCGAAAAGATATCCTAATATTATTTTTTTTTAATTTTAGTTTCAGTGTTCAAAAGAATATGAATTCTGATAATATATTCAAACAATTCAATAATCAAAAGCTAAATTCAAGTGGTGAAAGAGGCTACATTGAGTTTACTAAACAAAAGACTTTTCAAGTGTGGAAAGAGAGAATGAAAAATAATAATAATAGTAAAATAAAAGATACAAAGAAAATAGTAAAGAATGAGAGAAAGAAAGAATTGAGATTTAGAAGACTATTTTATTGATTTCTCATATATGAATGGAGTGTACAACTGCAGAGTTATAATACAAGTTGAAGCTACAGATAAGAATAAAGAATATTAGCTAATAATTACAGATATACAACCCCTAAGATTAAGGAGGTAAGTGAGAGATTTATGGAGTGATTTTATATGAAAAATCTCAACACTCCCCCCCTCAAGTTGGTGCATAGATATCATTCATGTCCAACTTGTCAAGACAATTCAAGAAAACTTGGCTTGGGACGGCTTTAGTAAGAATATTAGCCAATTGATCTTCAGATCAAATTGTAGGCAACTCCAAGATATTTCCATCTAATTTTTCTTTGTTGAAAAATCTATCGACTTCAACATGTTTTGTCCTATCATGTTGCACTGGATTATGAGCCATGTCACGTGCAGTTTGATTGTCACAATATAGTTGAATTGGTTGTTTAGGCGGGTAACCCAAATATTGCAAGAGATGTTTTAGCCATAAGGCTTCACAAAGTCCGAATGCCATGCCTCTAAATTCAGCTTCTGCACTTGAGCGAGCAATAACATTTTATTTTTTACTTCTCCATGTAACGAGAATACCACCCATAAATGTGAAGTAACTAGAGGTTGATCGCCTATCATCAATTGCTCCTACCCAATCGACATTTGTATAGACAATTATTTCTTGATAATTTGCCTTTTTAGTGAATAGTATCCTTTTCCCATAAGCAGACTTCAAATACCTCAAGATACGCATGACCACCTTCATATGTTGTTCACCAGGATTATGCATAAATTGGCTAACAACACTTAATGTATATGCAAGATCTGGTCTTGTGTGTGCTAAGTACATCCATCTTCCTACCATCCTTTGATATTTTCCTTTATCAACTGGAATTTGGTCACTTTCAATACAGAGCTTCAATCCTTCCTCCAATGGCGAGTTAGCTGGTTGGCATGCTGACATACCTGTTTCCTTCAACAAATCTAATGCATATTTTCTTTGGGATAAGAAAATCCCTTTATTGGATCTAGAAACTTCAATTTCAAGAAAATATTTCAAGAAACCGAGATCCTTTATCTCAAATTCTGTAGATAAGTATTCTTGCAGTGTCTTTCTCTCTTATGCATCATTTCCTGTGACCACCATATCATCTACGTAGACAATGAGAGCAGTGATCTTACCCGGTTGTCCTTTTAAAAATAAAGTGTGATCTGAGTTGCTTTGATGGTATCCAAATGCTTTCATGGACTTTGTGAATCTTCCAAACCACGCTCTTGGAGATTGCTTTAGACCATACAATGATTTTTTCAATTTCCAACACCTTTTGGGTATATTTTTCTGGTACCATACACCCTAGAGGAATCTCCATATAAAATTCTTCTGATAATTCTCCATATAGAAACACATTTTTTATATCAAATTGCAATAACGGCCAATCTTAGTGCACAGTTAAAGACAATAATACTCAAACAGTATTAATCTTGGCTACTAGTGCAAATATCTCTATGTAGTTGATTCCATAGGCTTGTGTATATCCTTTTGCGACTAACCTTGCTTTAAACTGTTCAATTGTTCTATCTGCTTTATATTTCACAGTGTAGACCCAGCGGCATCCCACTGGTTTCTTTCCTGGTGGGTAATCCACTAGGTCCCAAGTTCCATTTTTCTCAATGAGTTCATTTCTTCATTCATAGCAGCTTTCCATCTTGGATCAACTAAGGCTTTGTGTGCACTGTTGGGAATAGATACAGCAGATAATTGATTTACAAATGACTTATTTGATTCTGACAAATTGTGGTTAGAGACATAATGACTCATGGGATATTTGACTTTGCTAGAAAGTTTAGGTTCATATGTTGGTTTAGGAATACCTCTAGTGAAACGCTCTGGTAGTTGTTTTCTGGGTAACTCAGGTTCTATTATAGGAGCATCCTCCTTAACAAACGATTATGTGGTGTATCAGTAAGAGATTCTTCAATTGAGGAGCTTTCAGTTTGTGGTTCAATAACTTCGTCGACTTCTAAGCTCTTTTCAATGTTAAGATCCAAAGCTACATCATTAGTATTGCCAATATCATCTCTCACCGTGAACTTCACCAATATCATCTTTCTCAACATCAACTTTGCCTTGGTAATTCATGTTATAATCGTAATCTAGTTTGAATCTCTTTTTGGTAGTCTTCCTGAAGTTCAAACTTAGAAGAAAACTACATTTATTCTTCATGGAATACAACATCTATTGTTATAACCATAGACTGAGATGGAGGATGATAACGCTTGTATCCTTTTTGTGCATAGCATATCCAATTTATCATGTTTGTGAAGATGGATAAAAACTACACACCTAAACACATGAGGAAGTAAATTATAAATTGGTGGGGCAAGTATTGCATCAGTAAGAACTTTGAAGGGCGTATGGAGTAAGCTGCAAAAGCAATAGCTTCTCGCCAATAGGATAATGGCATATGGGCTCTGCAACTCGATTTTGTTGTGGAGTGTTGGAACAAGTTGTTTGATTAATAATTCCCTCTGCTTCAAAAAATTTTTGCGGTTTAGAATTTTGACATTCTCCTCCATTGTCACTTCAAAGAACCTGAATCTAAGCTTTATATTGAGTTTTAACCATTTAATAGAACTTTTGAAATAACATGTTTACTTCACTTTTGGGTTTCATTAACCACAACCATGTCATCCTTTTACAATCATCAATGAAAGTAACAAACCAACGTGATCCACCCAAAGTTGTCATTTTGGATGGACCCCACACATCAGAATGGATAACCATAAATGGAAGAGGACTTATATTCAAACTTAAAGAAAAAGAAGTTCAATAACTTTTTGCAAGTTCACAAATATCACAATGAAAGCTAGAAGGATCAAACTATTCAAACAAGATAGGAAATAGTTTTTTTAGATAACCAAATGATACATGCCCCAACCTTCGATGCCGTAGCCAAATTCTTGTTTTGCTCTTCTCCTCTTTAGAGCTTTCCACGGCTAAAACCTTATGCAACTTGTAAGAACACTTTGAGTTCAAATCCAAGTCTACTTTATGAGAACACTTTGAGGTCAAATCCAACTTGTGAGTACACTTTGAGCTTTCCACAATCGATCGTCTGCCTTGTTTGGATGTCCTTAAAACACAAAAATCAGGCCAAAAAATTACAATACAAGATAAAACCATGGTTATTTGAGAAATAAATAAGAGGTTATAATTTAAAGACGGGATAATTAAAATAGAATCAAGATTTAAAGTATTGGTAAGAGATATAGATCCCTCCCCAATAACTAGAGCCTCATTACAATTGGTAGTAGAATTGGACTTTTGTGATGACGGTCTAAGGTGTTCAACCTGTCTAAATCAAATTCCATGTGATCTGTACATCCAGTATCAATTATCCATGTGCTACTAGAAACAGGTGCAGAATTATTTAAAGCCTTACCACAAGTATTTGTGGTTGTCACCATTGCTGATCCTTTTCCAGCAACATCGTCTTCTATATTTGTTTCATCAACAGCAGCGGTTGGACCCTTCTTGGAATTCTTTTTCCGAGGTGCTTGACTATGATCCCACCATTCTAGATATTCCACAAGTTTATAATAACGATCTTTGGTATGTCCAGGTTGATCATAATGGGTACATTTATACATAGACTTTTCTGCATTCTTTTTAGGATGGTTTTGAGTCACCATTGCTGCAGCTTCTAAATTTCCAGTTTCAATTTTCAAAGTGGCATGACGTACTGCTCCTCGTCGAATTAATGCATAACACTCTTCCAAACCAGGAGTTGGTTCCTCGCAGAATTTCACCGCGAACCTAATCAAAATCAGTATCCAATCCTGCTAGAAATATATGTACCCTTAATCGTTCAATGGATTTCTGTTACGTTGTTACATCATCAGGATTTTTCATGACCACCTTATCACGGTGATCCAAAGCACTCCATATTGCATGGGTAGTAGGCAAACGTAAATATTGCTTCATAATTTTGGTTTCATTACTATTAATAGCCACCTCTTCACCTTTTGATTTTCAGCATACCACTTTTCATATCCCTCTTCTGATTCTGCAGGTTGCTTCACCTTACCATGGATATAAGAGAGCTTCTCTCTTTCGGCAACATGCATCTCCATCAGTTATGACCAAACATCATAACTTGATTCATTGAGAACGATTTCTATAATGAAAATACTCTCAATTTGAACAAGCATAAGAACTGATTTCATTCCCGATTATTCAATTCCATCGTTATCCATTTAGGCAAAAGATTTCAAGATTTAGAGGAACGAAGCTCTGATACCAAATTGAGATTTAGAAGAGTATTTTACTGTTTCTCATATATGAATGGAGTGTACAACTGCAGATTTATAATGCAAGTTGAAGCCACAGATAAGGATAGAGAATATTAGCTAATAATTACAGATATACAATCCCTAAAATTAAGGAGGTAAATGAGAGATTTATGGAGTGATTTTATATGAAAAATCTCAACAGAAAGAACCGACCAATTTCATGTAGGTCATAGTAAACTGGATGTAAAGTATATTTAGTTAAATCATAATCATAATCTTAATGATAAGCATAAAAAGCAACAACATAAAAAATGTACTACTTTGGTTGTATAATACTTACCGCATTTAGAATTTCATGTCTCTTAAGAAAATCATTAAATTTGTCTAAGTTATAATAAATTATTGAATAATTTGACTATGTTACGCTTAATTTAATACTAATTCTCTAAGAAAACCATTAAATTAAAGTAATAATTATTGGTCATATACAAAGGGTAAGCATGAAAAAAATATTTATTACTCCTTAAAACCACAAATGCAATAAATATTTTTAGAACAAACTATTTTTTTCAAATGTGACGAGTATTATGAAATGAAGGTAATATATAAGCTTTATACATAAATTATTGAAATAATCTTGACTAATGTTACGCCTTAATCTTTAATACTAATTTTCTCTAAGAAAACCATTAACAATCTAAAGTAATAGACATTATTGGTTTTCATATTTACACCACAGGAGTAAGCATGAAACAAGAATATTTATTACTCCTTAAAACCACCAAATGCAATAATTATTTTTTAGAACAAACTGATTTTTTTCAAATGTGGTACGCAGTATTATGAACATGAAAGGACTACTCTATATCTCTATATATATATAACTATATAATATATATATTATGCTATATATAATATAAGTAAGTATATATATTATCGGGCGCGCGCAAAGATAAGACAAAAGAGGAAAAAGAGTTTGACATGGCATAATTGAACTATGATAAAAAGAGTCCCTAACTAAAATTGGATTTTCCTTGCAAAATATGCCAAAGGGTATTTCTTTTTCCTTTCTCATCTTGACCTCCGCATATTAGTATATATATATGGGCGCGCGCAAAGATAAGAAAAGAGGAAAAAGAGTTGAATGGCCATGAATATGATAAGAGTCCTAACAAAATTGGATTTTCCTTGAAATATGCAAAAGGGTATTTCTTTTTCCTTTCTATCTTGACCTCCATATTATATTACCCACTTATTCTTTCTTTAATTTGGTACTATGCTATAGATGTAACATTCTCAACTCCTATCTCCCTACACTACTCTCTCTCTCTCTTTCTATACCCTTTGATTTTTTCGCAAAAGGACATTTTTGTTTCTTTCTTTTCCCTTTCTCTCCCGCTGGCATTGTAGGATAATATTAATTGTTTTAATAGTTACCGGCTATTTATAATTATTAATTATTTTATTAGCTCTTAGTTAAATGTATATTGAAAGGAATAACATTTCATAACCTACTATTTCACCGCTAAATACTAATATAAACGCGATATTACTGAATAATATAAATAATAAACACTAACTTAAAAGTTGAACAATGAACAATAATAATTTTGACTAGAATACTAAAACTAACTTCAAAGTTATTGCCGAAAATATGACCTTAAAATTAGA